AATATGATCATCAGGCTTTGCATTGCATTATATGTTTTGATCATCAAATGAAGCATTTAAATCTGATCTTACTATAACATGTTATTAGAGATATAGAGTGACGGCTGATACTTACATCATTTTATGAAAGTACTCTGTTATAAAAGTAACATTGATTTACATTATAACCAGAATTGTATTTATATGAGCAATAAAAAAGCCATAAAAGAGCCATAAGAACCTGTTATCATTGTTAAATTTCGATAAATAAGGGACTGAAGACATAGTAATCTGAAAAGTATCATAAAAAGTGGTCTGTTATTTCAAGCTTTCTTAAGTAATTTGATACTTTTTTTGTGAGAAAACCAAAAAAAAAACTAAACCAAATCTAAGTCGCTACTAGCTAATAATCTTCCCCTCCAGTGCAGCAGAAAAAAGTCATTTAAATTGGTTCCGACAACTCATTTATTGAAATTATCCAACTATAAAGGTTGATTTGTTCCTGTATTGTCTATGCCTCTCAAGAATGTGCCAATGAGAACTAAGATTTTCAATAAATTACTTTTTGGTCTGTTCACCGTTTTCTGTGAATAACAAAATCTTGGTCCGTTCCTCAAACATCATACGGGTTTGGAACGACATGAGGGCGAGTAAATGAGACCGAATTGCATTTTTCAATGAACTTTCTTTTTAATGTCCTTTAAAAACCCTCTGGCACACTGAGAACAAGCACACTCATACACAGAACTGCACAGCAGCGCCATGCAGTAACAATTACTGCACACACACACAATCACATAATGATCTTTAGCGTTACTCCGGCCAAAAAATGATCTCCCAGGGACAACAAAACAAAAGCATGCTCACCCTACAGCCAAACCCCCAGTGCCCCGTCCAACAATAGCTCACATAACTGCTGGAACCTACAACCCTTTTACTTCTAATAAATCGGAGCACATTCTACACCAGCAAAACACACACAGTCCCAGTGTCGCCTCGTCACACCGAGGCCTCTTTCGCAACGGCTCATGGCCTGAATACCCCTGAGTGCTTTTGTTTTCATTTCATTTCTACATAAAGGCAGATTTAGAAGCGAGTGTAAACAGAGGGGTGAATGAGCGCTGTGTCTCTGTCATTTCAGAGTAACTGAATTCTTACACTGAACTCTTCCTGATCCTGAACCCTGTAGGATATCAGCACTGTCCCATACTCAACTGATGCTGAGTCTGATTCTGAACCCTGTTCAGTACTGAACTCTGTCTGATAAAACAACGTTATAGCTTAAAGACATGCATTCGACTCACTGACACACTTACCCTTAAACCATAAAACACACTTACATCTCTTGTTCAAGCTTGTACTTTTCCAAGCCATTTGGGAAGTGTGTATCGGCCCTCTTCATGTTACATGATCTCCTCAGGATGAATCACTTGTGCTCAGGCATTCCTCAATTATAAGTCACTTCGGATAAATGCATTTGCAAAATGAATATAATTAGACTTAAACAAACACTACACTGAACTGATCTGTAACTCAAAGCAAACATTCTACAGTCATGTACCCAAAAACTAAATGTGCCAAACCATATATCTGCACCGTACTGTATATCATTTCACATTGTTGTTGAAACAATCTGGCGGCTTATGCATTAGAAGGAGTTATATCATGTAATCAATTTCTGTAAAACTATTCCTTTAATATCGCACAGTTTTCCTCATCTAGAAATGATTTACTCGGTATGACTGGAAGCAGGAGGGAGATCATAAAGTCTCTCAGAACCATGATGAGAAAAAGCTCAGTGAGATTTATAGATATAAACAACACGTCAGCCATAACAACTCTTTAGCGGCACTTCATCAGTGAATAACTTCAAACAAGATTCAGTGATCTAAACTCAAGACTCAAGGTTATAACTGAAGAATCTAAACCCAAGATTAAGGGTCCGTAACTCAAGATCCAAGGTTCTAAACTCAAAAATCAAGACTCTAAACTGAAGATTCAACATTCCAAACTAAAGATTTGTGGGTCTAAATGTAGGAATCGAGATTTAAATAAAGATTCAGGGTTCTAGACTCAAGAATCAAAGTTTTAAACTCAAGATTGTAAATTCAAGATTCAAGGGTCTAAACTCAGTATTCATGATTCCAATTCATGATTCTATACTCAAGATCCAAGGTGTTAAACTCAAGAATCAAGATTCTAAACTTAAGAGTCAAGATTCTGCACTAAATATCTAAAATCGAATATTCTAAACTCAAGATAAATGTTTTAAACTCAGGATTGTAAATTCAAGATTCAAGTGTCTAAACTCGGTATTCGCATTTCTAAATGCAAGGTTCTACACTCAAGATTGAAGGTTTGAATTCAAGGCTCTAAATTCTAAATTTAAGGTGCTACACTCAAGATTCAAGATAAATCAATAAACTAATTCAAATAGATTCTAAATTCAGGATGTAAGGTTTCAAACACAATATTGTAAATTTAAGATTCACGTGTCTAACCTCATTATTCACTTTTCTAAATGCAAGGTTCTGAAATCAAAAATCAAGATTCAACATTCTAAACCGGAAGATTCAGAGTTTTAAACTCAAGACTGTAAACTCAAGATTCAAACCTCTAATCTCAGTATTCACAATTCTGAATCTAAGGCTCTATCTACACTCAAGATTTGAGGTTTTAAACTGAAGAATCAAAACTTTTAAGTTAAGGTGAACTTGTAAGTTTAAGACTGTAAAAGATTGCAAGTTCAAGAGTCAAGTGTCACTTGAGTACTAAGATTTTTACGATCTTTGTTTTAAGATCCCGACCCCCCTAATAGTCGACTAATCGTCAGTCGACCAGAAGAGGCTTGGTCGACCACAATTTTATTAGTCGCTTAGTCACAGAAAAAAATGCAGTCTCCTTACTGTTTTTCCCTGAAACATTCATAATCATTACTTCTGCGGTGCGCTGTGGCAAGCTTTATGCATGTACTGGAGCGCTTATTAGGCTATGCATGCAATTAAAGGCTCATTATGATGATTTAAATGGTTTATTAATAAACGTACGATTAGTCGACTAATGCTTCAAATGAACGACTACTAGTCGACCAGAAAAATCCTTAGTCGAGGGCAGCACTACAAAATTCTATTCTCAGCATTTAAGATGTCAAGGATCCAAACTGAAGATATAAGGTCTTGTCCTAATGATTTGTGGCCGTCTCTACGGCCATCTGTCAGAGAGGGGTTCCCGCACACTCGAGTCTCTCTGTTGTGGCCCAGACGGCTTCCTCTCCTCAACAGTAGATTGGGTGTCACTTCAGTTACGTCTGTCCTCACATCCCCCTTTTTCAAGCCTCTCACTTACTATTCAGGCCTTTCTTCCTCCATTCAGGTCTTTCTCCTCTCATTCACAGACCCTTTCATCCCATCCATCCATCCCGAACAGCAGCATTTTTCATTCGTTGCTATGACTCCCTAACCTCTGTCCTCTCTGACTCCGCCCCCCTCATCCGATTTCCCCAATATAAGTCCCTCTTTTTCTTTCTCTCGTCTCTCTGTATTGTTGATTTATAGTGGTGGTGTGGTACGTGTGCTCCGTCTCGGTGACTTTTATAACGGCCCGTCACACATTCCTCTGTTTTTAACTCTGTTTCTCTTTAACTTATCTTCTCTATCCTCACAAAGAGTCTTTGCTTGTACAGTAATGCCCATGACCCCTGCGGTCTCCCTCCTCCTCTTTTCATTCGTTCTACATATACTTTGTCTTCTTATGGCTCAGGTCATTTACAGCCTCTCAAAAACGCCATTATTCTTGCTTATCTGCTAGTTCTGAGCTTTCTTAGAATCACAAACTATTTAAGGCCGTGCCGGTCTAAAAGGAATCCGTGCACATTTTTCCACATTTTCTACGCTGATCGTGAAGGGAAATCTGCAGAATGAATTTCAAGACGGCAAAACTTGCTGAACAGCTCTGAAAATACTATTTCAAAATATTTGAAATTATTAGTTTTTTTGTAACATGGAATAAGAATTTAAGTAGTTGATATTTATAATCAAAATTTTTCTCAACTTCTAAGCCATCTTGGACAGTTTTTTTTTTGTATCTTTGCATGCAAACCACAAGACTGCCTTTTGTTAAGCATGCATTGCTGCTTTAGATTTTAGTTAAAAAGTCATCTTAGAAGGCCGTTTGGAACAGGCTTTGCATTAGCTTCACTACCATTTTAATTTTGGGGTTTTCTCTTGGGAAGAAATGAATACGTTTATTCAGAAAGCATGCATTAAATTAATCAAAAGTGACATTAAAGACATCTATAATGTTAAAAAAGACATCTATTTAAAATGAATTATATTCATCAAAGAATCCTAGCGAAAAGCTTCCACAAAAATATTGTGCAGCACGACTGTTTTCAACATTGATAATAATCAGAAATGTTTCTTGAGCAGCAGATCAGCATATTATACTGATTTCTGAAGATCATGTGACACTGAAGACTGGAGTAATGATGCTGAAAATACAGCTGCGCATCACAGAAATACATTACAGTTTAACAGAGATTCACATAGAAAACAACATTTGAAACTGTAATAATATTTCACAATATTGCTGTTTTTCCTGTATTTGTGATAAAATAAATAAAATTCTTTCAAAAACATTTTTTCTTAAAAAAAATAATTTAATAAATACTAATAAAAAAAGTAATAAAAATCTTTCCAACCCCAAAAGTTTAAACAGTAGTGTCTTAAAAAGTTTTCTAAACAGGCAGCACACTATTTTTTTAAACAGAGCTCATATTAACTTTTAATTAAACTGATAAACAACCAAACTGCAAAACAATACAGTCTGATCATGAAAAACTAATTGAAAAGAGGTCAGTGGAAAATATTGTGTAAGCAGATGTCCAGTATACTCGATTATTAGACAATAAACTCCAAATGCTGCTCCACAATGGCAGAGAGGTAAGTAACAGGGTAATATTCCATCACACCTCTGTTATTGCTTCTTTTTTCCTTTACACCCCTTCAATTTCCGTTTCTAACCTTCTGTGAAAGGCTCCCAGTCATACACACGTCCCATAAACTCTTGATTGTTGAACGCTGCACACTGTTCAGCCCTGGAGCTTACTGGAGCACCTGGACATGCCTACAGGGAGAGAGAGAGAGAGAGACTTAAGTTATGGTATCTCACTTTGACAAGCATGACCGTGCGTGCGTGCGTGCGTGTGTGAGTGTGTGTGTGTGTGTGTGTGCGTGTGTGCATGCTTTGGGTCAGCCTGTGACAGAGAGTGATGCATTAGTTACCGTATGGAAATAATGGTGAACCTGGAAACACTCTAAATAAATCTCCAGAGGGAGAGACAGACGGAGGCCAGTGTTTTCAGAGTCAGAGAAAGACAAGAGCCCTGAAGAAGACGACTCAAAATGACACATTTTAAGGAATGAAAAACTGACAAACCACTAGGGTTAGGAATTTTTTAACAAGTAAAATGTATTTTAGTCTAGTTGTACAAATGTCCACCTTCAGCTCAAGCTTCACATGCCTTTTTGCTGTGAAAACATTACTGATTTTCATAAAGTAAACATAAGAATAACTTTGATGTTGTTAGTAATATTTCCAGATGAACACTTACTGGACTGAAGCAGCTCAGCTTTACTTGATTCTCCATCAATCATGTTTTAGAGTCTCAAATCTGATCATCAGGATGTTTTGAGGAGCGTTTGTTTCCAGAAGCTTTACTTTCACTGTTCCTCAGCGGAGGAATGATCTTCACAAGCCTCCAGAACATCTCACATCTGAGGAGGAGCCTTTATTTCTTCATCTCTCAATCAGCATTGGATTGCATTGCATTGAATGTTTTGATCATTTCAATATCATCTTACTAAGACATATTATTGGAGATACAGAATGACGACTCATATTTAGATCATTTCACGTACGTATCTGTTATAAAGATCTTATTGATCTACAAGCTATCAAACATTAATATCAGCATCTGCCCCAAATTGCATATTTTTGCTCAGTTTGAGTCTCTGAATAAAACGGAGCTGTTTTTTTTTCTCCTCCAAACACGTGCATTTTTTTTTCTCTAAAGGTTCAATGAACTGTTTTATTTCCATTTCGGACTATTATTTAACATGACAGACTTTACAGGGTTAAGAAAGCACAATTGTTAAGTGGAAATGTTACCAGAATGGATAAATTCCTTACAATCCCCAAACCACAGACAGAACGGGACATCAGGATAAAACATATGGCATCATAAATCAGACCTTTATCAGCTTTGAGAGCGCAAGAGCACAGATGCTCGTCTCAAAATATTCCACGTGTTTGTTCACGATGCCAATGACATCAGGAACACTGCTCATTTTCTCTTGCTTTTTTACTTTTCCCATCTTGAACACGATGGGAAGTCCCCACAGAGGGAGAGATGAAGCGGAGAGATGTTACAGGACACTAAAGACAGGCAGAGACAGCTGCGGACAGTAATGGGGGTGAAATTAAAGAGGCACAGGGTCATCGAGGTGTCATTTCACCTCACAGACCACCACACACACCGCCATTAATGACTAAACACCATCCCATTAATGCACAGCAAACACACTGCGGCTCTCCACAAACCAGCCCTAAATATTTACAGCACGTCTGAGTGTGTTTGCTCAGGAAAACTTCTGCTTCGTTTATTCTAGGGGTTCAGTGCTCATACTCGTGTTCACTGATTTACTTGAATTAATCCGCACTTTGGGTGCTTACGGCATAAGTTACGATGTTAAGATTTGTGCATATATACATACACTCTAAAAAATGCTGGGTTGTTTCAACCCAACTTTGGGTAAAATAGGGACAAACCCAGCAATTGGGTTGTTTTGACCCAGCGGTTGGGTTACTACCCAGAACGTTGGGTTAAACTTTAAACCCAACCGCTGGGTCAAAACAGCCCAATTGCTGGGTTTGTCCCTATTTTACCCAGCACTGGGTTGTATTTAACCCAGCATTTTTTAGAGTGTAGCAGCAGCATGCATAGCAAGTCATATCATTATTGTTGCTAATATAGCAGCGGCAGCAGAAAGCGCTTTAGATGCATGCAATTTTAATGATAACTCATGGAGGGTAAATTAACTACTGTATTTAAAGTGCAATAGGCATTTATTACTTTGGTTATTCAACAGGGCTTACAGCAGGTTTCGTGCAGCAGCAGTAGATTATGCTTCGCAAATTCTGATTAAATATTACAACCGCAACAGCTCGCACAGTAAATTCCTACGACAACATTGTGAATAGCATTAACAGCAACAGCATCTACTTCAACGGTATTGAAGTGAATATTATCAATAGCAGCAGTAGCAGACGTTTTGTTGCGCTGGCCGTGTCACACTGCATACATTGTGGACAGCTTTACCTATCGTAACGTGTCTATTGACTGTCATGTTGTGCCGCTCGCGTCTGGCATAGACATCGTGTTAAAATAAAATAGGCATTCACCTAGCTACTTATTCATTCATTCATTCATTTTCTCAGCAGCAGCATGCACAGCATTTCTATGTTGCGAATTTTAATTTGGATACAATTAATATAAAAGCAGACAACTGCATTTAAATAAAGTCACTGTAGTGTCTTGCTCAAGACCATCTTGGAATGAACTAAAATACAAAAAACCAACTAAAATTAAAAATAAAATAAAATATAATAGTGTCTCAATTATACTAAAATAGTGGTGGAGATATTTAGCAAAATGTTCATGCTGCTCAAGAAAGCTTTAAAAAAAAGAAATATAATTTGTTAATTTAGTTAAGTGAATTTAAGTAGGTCAAGTATGTTTTTGAAGTATACTTTATGTTGTACATATAGCCTACTAATATTAGTATAATACTGTACTATTACTGTTTCAGTACTTGCATGGGACTAAATTGGTTCAGTTTTTAATTAATAAAACTATACTTTTAAGTGTAAATTCAGTAAACTTTAAGCACACAACAAGTCTTTTCTTTAGCAACTATACTACAAGTTAAGGTAAAAGGATTGCTTCATGCTAAAATACGAGTCTATAATCTATAATAACGCTTCCTCCAGTGAAAAAGTCCATCTCCTGTTGTCTCTCACATCAAAACCCACCCACTTATTTGTTTAGAGCTGTTTTGGACTGTTTTGGCTTGTAAACAGCTTGACCTGTGCAGATTTCTCTGCTGATTCAGACCAGACAACTTTTCACTGGAAGAAGTGTTATTATGAATCATGGACTCATATTTTAAGTGAAAGCGATGGTTTTGAAATTAAAAATTGAGTGGACTATTCTTTTAAAGAATTACACATAAAACACAAAACTAAGCATACAAAGATGAAAAGAGGCAAAATCATTTGTGAGATTTTACTTGCTAAGAGAGCAGAAGAACAACACAGAGCTGATATATAGTTGAAATGCACCAGTCAAAGAGTTCAGAAGAGTTCCTGTAATGAAGCAGAGCATCTACTAGAACTCAAGCTGAGAGACAGAGAGCTAATGCTCTACTGCCTTTCCTTAGGCCACATTCACTTCCTCGTTAATAGGGCCACTGTCAAACAGGGGCACACACGGGTCAGACCGCATCTGCACACACACACACACACACACACACACACAAACAGTTCCATCGGATCTTATTACAGGAGAAGCTAGCTCAGTGGGAAATCAGGGTGTAGCACTCACACACACACACACACACATGTGAATGAATGAATGTATGACTGGCTCAGATGCATCCATGGTGGATGAATATGGCGAGAGCTCAAGATTTTCTCACATGTTGTGAACAGTAACACAACAGCTGTCACTCTCTCTCTCTCTCTCTCTCTCTCTATCTCACTCACACACACACACACACACTTTCTCTGCACTCATCTTTTCTCTTTCTCTGTGAATACCTCATTCTTTTGTTTTTCTCTGTGTCCAGCTGACAAAAGCAGTTGGTCAGTGTAAACACATTTAACAAAGCAGCGTGCTGAAACACGCACACACACTCTTCAAGAGAGGTGCTTGAGAAAACGAGAAACTAAAAACACCTGAATAGACACAGATGAAATGTGCACACAAAGACATTCCTGTGTGCTGCTCCATGTGCGTTTGTAAAAGTTGATGCATAACAGATCCAGGAGCTTTTTAGGTAAAAATGTATATAAGCATAGGTTAATGTGAACATCTTGGGCCATGTAACTGGTCACTGTTTCTTTAAACTTTTGCGCAACTTTTAATGACATTTTTTACTTTTAAATCAGTCAAATTTAAATGGCCCTGCAGTGAGACAAACACATTTTTTAAGTATTCTGACACTTTAAGTCAGAATCTTTTAGTTTAGACAAAACATAAAAATGTCTTTGCATCTTTCTTTTATGGCTCATATCGTCTGATATAGTGAGAGGAGAAAACAGCTCTAAATATGCAATTTGGTGCAGATGCTGATAGGCTATTTATATAATGAAATTCTGATAGTTGTAATGTAAATCACTCAGATCTTTATAACAGTATAACAGATATTTACATAAAATGATATAAATATCGGTCGTCACTTTATACCTCCAATAATATGTCTTGCTTAGTTTGATGATCAAAACATATAATGCAATGCAATCAAGATCAAATCATGAAAAAAATTAACATTCATCAAAAGCCCACATTTGAACATGATTTTTCAAAAAAACATTATGAATTTATAATCAAGTAAAGCAATGCTGCTCCACTCCCGTAAGTGTTCATCTTGAAATATTACAAACAATACCAAAGTTATTCTTTCCTTTACTTCATAAAAATCAGAAATGTGCATGTCATATATAAGCTTTATAGGGTTAAAATGCTGTTTAAAACTGTTTTAGATGTATAGCAAGTCACACTGCAGGATATGCACAATACTCACAGCTACTGTTCAGGTGTTGTGGTTGCCAGGTCATTGCTATGTGGTTGCTAAGGTGTTCTGGCTGATTGCTCAAAGGTTACTTACTGGCTTATGTCAAAAAATCCTCAAAATCTGATGTACAAATGGTGCAGAACGAGTTTCACAACAGAGTCTAATTCTTAGCCTAAGAGGCTTGAGTGGTAGTAGAAATAAGAGCATTATTAATAGTACTAGTGATGCTTGACTAAGCAAATGCCACTAACTAGATTACACACAAGCCCT